TTACAAATTTTATTCAAAAAATTCAACATCTTTAATTTAATAATGTTGTTTTTAAATACAAGTAAAATTATTGTGAGGATTCAGTAACTAGGGGGGGGGGGTGCACAGTAATTGACACACTCACCCTATTTAATGTAAATCTGAATTCGTTGCTTCGATTTTGTTGACATTGTCGAATAAATCGATCTTCTTTTATAGTGATGCAGCGTGTCCGACCGCGACGTCATATCTTTCACTATGTCCTGCGATAAATATTTATAAATTTCCATTGCATTTTTAGACATACCATACTTCCGTGCTTCTGGTGGAAGAAGTTTACTGTAAATTTAGACCATCTGAACAAAAATAAAATAACTACTTTTATGCAGGGCTGGAGAAAATTTCAAATAATTACAAATAGTAAATATAGAAATATATTAACATAAGTAAATATCCTTTGGAAATACTATTTCATTTAATGCTTGAATGAAGTACCATTTGGAAATACAATATCATTTAATGCTGAAACGAACTATTGTTTGGAAATATTATTTCATTAAATGTTTAAAATATGAGAAAATACTATTTATCATTTATATTCGGATTTAAATATAGAGTAATGTATTTGATTCGAATGATGTCGTCCAAAATGGAAAGTTCGTTGGTTACCTCACAATGAAAAAGACACTAAAATACCGTTTATGAAAAACAAATTAATAAAATCGATGCTAAATGGAAATATGGTTCCTAACAACGAACGAAAATTTTTTAATTTTTTTCTATGTCCAGCTACATTTACTTCAACAAATAAATAGTGTGCACTCGATCGCAATGAAACTATTTCATTGTGTCAATGATAACGATACATCATTTCAACGTTTTAAGAAATAACCTACAATTAAAAATCGATTTCGAAAATATAGTATCGAAATTTCGAAAATATAATACCGAAATTCCTAAAATACGTCAACACAGATAGCACATTTGAAATTATACTTCTATGACGTTTCCAGTTATTTACCCAGAAAATAAACGTCTTACGTTAACGATACTATTATCGGTCACTTATAAACAAAATGAATTTACATTGTCGGTAAAGGTAGGTACATGGTNTCCTTTGGAAATACTATTTCATTTAATGCTTGAATGAAGTACCATTTGGAAATACAATATCATTTAATGCTGAAACGAACTATTGTTTGGAAATATTATTTCATTAAATGTTTAAAATATGAGAAAATACTATTTATCATTTATATTCGGATTTAAATATAGAGTAATGTATTTGATTCGAATGATGTCGTCCAAAATGGAAAGTTCGTTGGTTACCTCACAATGAAAAAGACACTAAAATACCGTTTATGAAAAACAAATTAATAAAATCGATGCTCACATGAGAAGACAAAAGTATTCATAACGTTTTTACTATTTAAAAAATCTATTTTTCCCCAACCTTGCAATTAAGATTATAATGAATTTTATAATAAATTTTGAAGTTCGAACCTTTAATCACTTGGTACATAGAGTGACTCTGGTTAATATTCGAACACCTTTTAAAACGCAATAAATTTTTTAGAACTCGACCAAACTATTTGAATTTTTTTCAGAAGGTAGAGGGAATAGCTAGAATGCTTTTTTTAAATTTTGCTATTGCTTGGAACGACAAAAAAATTAAAAAACTCGACTTTTCTAACACTATCATCCGAACCCATAACGAAAATTAAAAAAATACATTTCAATACCTACGACCAATAAAAGTGTGAGAAATTTACAGTTTTTTAAATCTTCTAACGCTTATAACTTGACTTTGCTTTAACCGATGTTGATGAAATCTCCAGCATGCGTATAAACTCAACATGATCTATAGAACGCATTTTTCAAAATTTTCGTTATAGGCTCAGATATAAAAAGTTAAAAGATTAAAAAAATTCAAAATTCAAAAATAGAATTCTAGTTAGGGTCTAGTAGACAGATCTCTCTGTCACCTAATATTATTGCATTTTGAAAACTGTCCGAATATTAATCAGAGTCACTGTAAATAATTGTGATCACAATTATATCGTGTTTAGTTTAATTTTAATCAGCAAAACAAAGACAAAATCGACGATACAAGTTGCA